CCCCAACCCTTTTTTTTGTACCATCAGCCATTACTGCGGACCGGTAATACTGCACCGTCGTTGAAGGATCATTACATTTTCTAAGTCAAACATTTTACAGACTTTCATCTGTTAGAATCAAAGTCTGAATGACCTGTTGTTTTGACCAGATTATCTTTGAATGGAAAAAGTAAAGGGATATGACTGGATTTGTTTTACTGCTCTAGGCCACATCATCTGGGACACCAGTTCAACTCCATTCTAGGGCACCGTCATCAAGAACCAAAGAACCAAAAGGTTATCAAACCGAGGTGTTTTCTTGGCCCATGTTGGAACAATTGGTAGCGACTAAGTGCTACTTGAAAGTCCACTGGAATAGTGTTGCCAACTATGTTAATTACTAGTAAATTCCTGTAAGATGAAGCACCACCTCACAAAGGTCCTAAACTGATTTCTTGACCGTACATCTCTGAAGGAATTATCAGGGCTATACTGTACTAGTAGTACTGTAGTACTGGAAGTCGCCTGGTGGAGCAGTGGATGAGAACATATGCTGCATATGGTTGATTTGTCAGACAAAAGCACGTTTAAAGAGGTTTTGTGTTGAAACATATACTGCAAAAACAACAAAGACAAGAAAAAAAAACACTACTCATGAAGAAAACAGTGTCATCTTACTGTGGTCGATGTAGAAAGTGCGTCCGTCTGTATGAATTCTTTCCTCCCAACCAGGCTGAAAAAAAACAAACAAAAAAAACACAAAGAAGTTTAAGGAGCATTAAAACCGAGACCTCACCACAGGAAAGTTAAAAATGGCCTTTCTCAATTAGCAAATAAATCCCTTCATCGTTTAGCCTTCATTAAAAACTCAACTTTGATTGAACCTGATTAACAAATAAACACTTTCAGGCCAATTCTGTGTGAAAGAACAAAAAGTACAAAATGTAAACCAACACAGAAATAATAAAAGGATTTCCATGCTATTTGAGTCAAGTCAGAGACAACAGCAAGGCAGGGATACGATCACAACATTAAGTCCAACCACCACTCCCTGTCTAAACCAGAACACCAACACTGACATGGTGACCACACACGCACACACCCACGTACACACACTTATACAGCAACATGAATCAGGCCCTCATCAAAATTACAGAGTAGAGTCAAAGGTCAACAAAGTGTCAAGCAACACTATATAATACTGTGTCTGTTTTTGTTACTGCATGAGTGGACACGTGAATGGAAACGTGCTAACACATGCAGTAAAACCACAAGTTTTCATTTGACCTATGCCCCCAAACCCTCCCACCCCCTTAACTATTTCCAAACTGTCCTCTTCCTCCTCTCCATTTTTTTTACCAACCTATTTTTCCACTAAGAATAAAAACAAAAATATTTTTTCTACTTTCAACATAATGAAATAATCTGTAGGTTCCACCACCGGGGGAGCCACCACATTAAACAATAATGATCAGAGGTGACGGTGCAGGGAGGGAGCTCGGAAAAGACAGGAAAATGTACACACAATAAAGATGGAAATCAAAGTAGAGGTACAGTCCACTCATGCTGGTCATAAGAAACAGAGAGAGAGAAAAGTTACAGAGATAGTAGGGGTGAGTTTGGGGAGGGGCGGGCGGTGGGGGACAAGGCTGTCTGCAGGCATTTGACCAGACCAGACCAGACCAGACCAGACAGGTATATAAGAAGGCAGGCAGAGTGAGGGAGGCACCAACCAACCTCCTCTGGTAGGTTCTGCCAAACAGACATGGCCAGGTGTAGAAGTTCCACCAGAACGGAGTGGAAGGAGAAAAGAGATGGACGAGAGAGGGAGAGAGAGGAAGAGAGAGAGAGAGAGAACATACCCACATGCACACACACCACACAGTCCAGTGAGACGTACAACCTTAGGATTTGATCAAGACTCTACTGTACTTCCTTCTTTCTTACCAACAAACTGGAAGAACCCTTATCTAACATGGTCTTAAAGCGTTTAACTCCATACAGATGGGATGCACAGATACCCACCGTGGTACTACTCAAATACTACAGTTTTTCACTACAACCAGCTGCACTGCTTCAACACCACAACATCACTTTCTTGAGACTTCTTTTGACAACATTTTCAATTTTATTTGTCTATTTAAAAATATGGAAATAGTAGAGTAATAGAGACAACGTTTTCAATCACATTTCCTATTGAGCTATAAGCTGCGCTCACTGTCCGCACCACTTTCTGATGCTCCTCTGCTGGGGTTTCCATTGACTACCTGGGAAACAACGTCACCTTTGTCGATGGAATGTCTCGGAAAAATCTACCAAAAACCTCTGCGTTGTATTTGCAGAGGCTTTACTAAATTTTTGGAAAGTAATAGTAATCTGTGTTTGTGTTAATATAAATCAAATGATATTTGCAAATAAAGCCGCACTCATCGTCAGTCCGTGCGTAAACTGTGTAGGTACTGGAACCATGACTGTACTTACAGGAAGTGGGCCGAGGTCCCCAGGCTCCATCGATCCCTTATTCCTCATATGAACTGGATATTTTAACCTGGGGTCCTCCTGGTTTTGGGGGACAAAAGGACAAAGTAAGCCACAGGAAAGCGATTAACTTGAAATTAAATAATGTTTTAAACAGACTCAAGGTTTATACAGTTCAATTCTACATTGGGCATTTATGAAATTGTAGTTGCTTTTAACACCAGCAGGTGTCAGTAGAATCTCAAGTAAAAGCAAAGCTAACCACTGCCCCAGATTTTGGTGCTGATTTTATACTAAGGTGAAAGCAAAGTTTTTGCTAATGAGCCCGTTTAGTATTTAAGACTTTAACTGTTTGTTCCCAGGTGAACTGATTCTGTGATAAATCAAATTGTACTGCAATGCAAACAATGTTCAAATTAAATTCTAGTAATTTATGTTTTGTTTAGAATCGTTTCTTTTTATAGAGGAGAGCTAAAATGTAGTGTTTTTTTTTTTTGAGAAAAAGAAGTTTTTATCCTGGATACCCTTTCTGACAGTGGTAGGAAAGCCAGACATTTTACTACTTATAGTAAAAAAAAAACCACTGTCAGCTGTAGAAAAGAAACACTCAGACTGTGCTAATTGAAATGTTAGCTCACCCAGGTCGTTGTTCTGCTGTTGTGATCAATGAAAAATGGCCGTCCATTGGGGGCGATCCTCATCTCCCAGCCAGGGGGCAGAAAGCTCTGCTGTGCTTTGTGCTGGGATTTGGGAGAACTGTACGGGGATGGTTGAGGAGACTGGGGGTTGGAGAAGGTGTCCTTCACAGCCCTTCGCACCTGGATATTGTTGGCTCCCTGGTAACACAGAGGGGAGAACATGAAGGTTTTAAAAAATACTCCATGTCCCAGTGAAATCAAAGCAGGTGAACGACAGGAATGGGATGGCAGCACAGTAAGATGTACAGAAACCAGTCCTCTGATGGGTGAGTTGGTGGAAAACTGTAAAGAAGAAAATAGATCAGTATGAAAACTGCAAGTAAAAGACTGATTTTTTGATGTAATCCTGTAGGGAGCCAATCAACACCAAGGTTATGATAAGGAGACATACACTGTATCAAGTTGAGCTGTATGTATATATGTATATATATATATGCATATATATATATACATATATACACATATATATGTATGTATATATATATGTGTGTATATTTTTGTATATATATATATATATACAAAAATATACACACATATATATATACATACATATATACATATATATATATACATATATACATATATACACATATATATGTATGTATATATATATGTGTGTATATTTTTGTATATATATATATATATACACATATATATATATACATATATATACACATATATATGTATGTATATATATATGTGTGTATATTTTTGTATATATATATATATACACACATATGCATACACATACATATACACATATATATGCATATACATATATATACATATATAACTATACATATATAAAAAGTGTTACATTTGAAAATATGGCGTTGCTAACAGCCTTACAAAAGCGCTTGTAAACAGTGAGCTGGTAAATGTATTTCCCACTTCCCCTACCATACTATCAAATCTATGGAGAATACAAGAGAAAGAAGAATGAATGAGAACGAATGTTGTGACATTTAAAATAGTCTTGAAACATTAGCCAAGAAAACTCTCTCTTCTTGTTCTTGTGTCATCGAAATAGCATCAATATTCAGTTCCCAAGGTCGGTAGTAGCACTTGTATGTCCCTGGGTTCACTTTAGCAAACTACTCAATCTTTTAGGGCCTGTGATTGGCTTAAATTATTCATTGAGCAGTAACAGGATAGATCTTCCATTTTAGGATTCAACAGAATTTCCTCAGCTGTGTAAACTGCTTGAAGGCAATCTGCACTGCAGAGAGAAAGCAAACTATTTAAAAAAAAAAATCACCAAACTGACCAAACCATGACCATATCACATGACTGCTGAAGGTCTAAATAAGAAGGGCCAAGACGTCAGGCATGAGGTCATGTGTTAAAGATAAAGAAAAACAGAAGAGTATAAAGAAAAGAAAAGGCCAACTCTGAGAAATGGATGAGCAACCTTTGTTTCCTCCATGTTTAAGCGAGAATAAAGATAACCTGTGAAGAGAAGGGAACAATGAAGTGTTATAATGTGTAATGTGAAGATTTAACTGATGAGAGAAAAGACGGACCATAAAGAGAGTGAATAAAATGAAGAAGACAAATAAACACATCTCAGGATGGAAAAAAGAGAGGAAAAAAGATGTGGGCGCGGTGGAGAGGAACAATACAGGAGGCTGGGTCTCACCTCAAAAGGGGTGGAAAGGGTGACGGTAGGGGAGCTGAGGCTACGAGGTCTTCGGACTTGGGGTTCATGGAGGTGGTTGTTGGAGGCATTGGAAGAGGAGGGAGGGGTGGATGCTGATGCCAGGGCCGAGGCTCCACCGGACGCTGATGCTAACGCTGCCGCCGACGTGCTGGCTCCGTCTTCAGTCAGCTGTCAGTGAGAATAGCACTTTTGAGGTTACACAGGGTTTCAGAATATGACAAATGATGTTGGCTGGTGGAAAAGAAATCCCCATCATACTGCAAAGCATCATTTGTCATTGGAGGTGTAATGTACAGGGCTATAAGAGCTCTGATTAAGAGGGGATTGAAAAGAAGAAGACATGAGAATAAACCACAACACAACGCAGAAATCCGTCTACACGGAGCTGCCTCGCTAGCAGACACAAGGACAGGGAAGGACAAGTGGAAAAAGAGAAGAAAAACAAAAAGAGAAGTAGAAAAGAATGTGGTGGTTGTCGTTCCACGCAAACGTTTGCAAAACAAAGACTTGTATTTTCTCCCAGTGTAAGAAACCTGATGCTAAACAGAGAAGGAAGATGTACAACAAGGTTGGACAGAATAGGACACAGAGGGACAGAGGGAAAGACAGAGAAGCTCTGATGTTACAAAATGTCTTTTTCTTTCTTCCCATCACTGGTTATGGCTACACAGAGAGTAAAGACGGTGGGTACAGAGGAAGGAGAGGAACAACGGCACGTCACAGGCCTGGGCCACAACAGGGATCAAGGTTAGGTCCAGTCCCATGCATAAAGAGGGTCCAGCCTGACACTGTGCCTTCAGACCTGCTATACCTGCACTATTGGTCTAGTCCAAGTTGTGGTGCGGTTGTTATGGTTGACGTAATAAGTTCTTCCCTTGGTGTCCTTCCTCTCCTCCCATCCAGGGGGCAGGCCAGGGGTGGTCAAGGCATAAGCAGCCGACGAAGGAGACTGACCCAGTGTGGGGAAAAAGCAAAGCAAAGACAACCGATCAGTACAGGCTAGCTTGAAACTTTGAGGGAATTCTAGTTCCCTTTATATTATATTCTGATGGACTGGCATGTTTAGGTCTGCCTGGAGGCAACAGACATTGACGATGTTTTTTTATGTTAAGTTTCCTGAAAAAATATAATCCATCACACTGAACTATAACGACTTCAGTCATTTGTAAAAGGTCACGGGAGGTCAATGTGCCCAGTGGAACTTCCCTTCACCTTGATTTGGTTTCGATCCAGATAATTCTACAGTATGAAATAAAAACACAAACAGTGGGTGGCAGTAATGAAACTCAATGGCTGCAGAGCTGCCGTTTAAAGAGTGAGACGTGACATTGATCGTTTTCAGTAACAAATCCGTAAATAACAAAAGACAATAATATTACCTAAGGTGAAAATGAACATGAAAAGATTTCCATCAGTTGTTGCTTGAAGATCAAAATCATGTCACAAAAAAGAGGTGTACAGCCCAACGGAAAGGCAGGGGTCCTGCACTTTAGTAAGGCAAACTACACAGCATCACCCTGGCTATAAGTAGGTACGTGATAAAAAATGTGTTTATCGAGATGGATTTTTTTCTCTCAGAGTTCAGTCACTTGCCTCGAATTGTATTTGCAATATATTTTTCCAATTAGCAGGTATCACAATATTCAACTCATTGGCTTCGAGGCTTCTGATTTATGAATGATGTTTCAAAATGTAAGTTGTATTATTTTCCTAAAAAAAACAACAAAAAAAATGCAAAAAAGTTCAAGAAGAAATGCTTATCACAGTTATTCTAAAAATTTGATGTTTAAAAATAAAAAAGAAGTTTCCTTATAGAGAATCATGGGACATATAATAATATATTTCAAGACTCAATGGATTACCAAATAAACTCATTCAAAGACAACCCACATGGACACACATACAACATCACTGACAAGCACCAACATAAGGAGTTCTGCCAGACACGTCACGTGACACAATTACCTGTCACCGTATTTGAGCATTTAAAAAAACCAAATCCTGATTTCCTCATAAAGGTTAATCAATTATACCATGAGTGTAAAGCCTCAAACGAGGGCTGAACATCTGAGAGGGTTTGTACTGTATATGAACTGCGATATTACCATGGACTCTTCACCACCTGAGACAGTTTGAGCTCTTGTCCTTCTGGTCTGCACACTCTGCTGATAGTAGACAACATGAGAGGGGTGGTCTTTAGTTCAAAATGTGTCATAGTTTCATTACTGCAGTAGAATTGCTGGGGCATGAGAGAGAGAGAGAGAGAGGGAGAGAGAGTGACGGAACAGTGGATGAGAAAAGTGAGGAATCGTCATCAGCGGAGAGTGACAGCCTGAAGGTGATTCTGGTGACTGTGAATTTTGGCGGGGAAAATGATTCACCACATTTTCTAAGGGGGTGGAGGGAATGACACCGACTGAAGCGTGACAACTGAGGCAACGGGGCAGAAATTTGACTTTACAGACGATTTGTTTACACAAGACGTGCAGCAGGTTAGGAGAAGCTGAAACGTGATCCTTCCAGAAAAAATTGCAGAGGAAATCAAGACAGAGGAAGAATCGAGACAACAAAAGCTGCAGAAAGTTAACGTTGAAACACGGATTGTGAAGCCAGAATGTCATTACAGGGGTCCTCTGAGAATTAGTCTCCAAATATGGAGGCCATTGTTGAAATAAGCCGACCAGACCAACTTGTCTTCTGTTCCAGACTAACCTGTTTCCTCTTAGTCACATATGAATCTTATTTATAAATGTGCTTGTTTTGTTTCTATAAAAGGATGGTACTGTGTATTTTATGTTTTCCCTTGTTGATGAACTTTTTTCTGAAATTGCACATTGTCATATAGGTAGACAGAATCCATCTGTCCATCTTTATGACAATGTGCAATTTCTGAAAAAGAATTCAATAAACAAAGTTTGCAAAAAAATAAAACCCAGTTTATTGAATGGATCTCAGGATGAACTGCACCTCCAGTGCGATTGAGAGGACGACACACATCACTGTGACTCTAAAGTTACTGAGCACAGGTACAAATCAATGTCAAAGGTCAAGTGTGGTAGACACGTTTTCATCGATCAGCGTCGCTTGTTCCGTCTGCTGTAGCAACAACTGATCTGGTCCACGTCAGGTCTTATATCATTCTATACATCAATACTTGTCCCATTCAAAACAGATGTCAAACATAGGGCTGACAAAAAACAAATTTGAACAACGGTTACGACCATAAGTTAAACACATACATCCGCCTCCTGTAATTTGAAGTTCAGTTCCATCAGTACACCGAAATAAAGATTTTTATACATTACAAACCAAAGACCACACACAAAAATAAAGATTTTTGTCAGGATCATCATACATTACAAACCAAAGACCACACACACATATTTGTTACAGAAGTCTGAGGAGTTGTGTGTTGCTCTCGTACGGCCCTGACATCAGTGCTTATATAACTTCTGAAGCTCCTCGCTGTGACTCAACTGCGTGATAAATTTCTGATTCAGATCTTGCAGCACAATGCTTAATGTTAATCTTCACTGACTCAGAACTGGGACAATATTTAGACTGTTAGTCCTTTGTTGTTGTTTTTCTTTTTCTTTTAATCTTACCTCCTTGCTACGTTAGTCCTTTGTTGTTGTTGTTTTTTTTTTTCTTTTAATCTTACCTCCTTGCTACAGTTTTTTGTATAGAATTGCAAGGCTGTTGACACAAAGCTGTGAAACTACTTCAAAATGTCAAATGCTGGCGAGAAAAAATTACCAGGACGAAAAGGCAGAACGGGGGAGAGGAGAGGGAGGAAGAAAAAGGCTCTATGCTCCTGTACATACATGAAGACAGGACGGTGTTGAAAATGTATAGTAGGAGAAAAAGCCGAGGAGCAACAGGCACGCCGCCATCCTGCTAGAGAGAAAGGGGAAATCCCAAAAGGAAGAGGAGCAAAAAAGTGGAGTGATTTCAATGTGGGGCAAGCTATCAACACGAAGACATGCCAACAAAGATGAGGTCAGTATTACACCACTACAAACCTGCTAAGGCAATCAGAGAACAAAGACAAGGATGTTCACTGTGCTCAGAGTGAGGCAACAAGGAAAGGCAGGAAGCCAAAGAAAAACAGAGGAGGAGGAGGAGGAGGAGGAGGAGGATGACGAGGAGGTGGAAGGGAAGTGTATCTGCTGAGAAATATGTACCATAAGAGGAGGAGCCTGGGCCTGGTCACTGACGCCATCTGTCATACTGGAGGAGCGCAGTCTGTTGGAGAGCGGGCTCTGTGTAAAAAAACAACAAAGACAGCAGGTAAGTGGTGAGAAGAAGAATACTATTAGTGAGGACGTTTTCAAATCTCACCAGAGCAGAGCTGGGCCCCGGCAACTCTCCATTTGAATCAGGACTGAGCGACAGCCGCAGATTCAAATCTTCCGTGAATTCCTGCGTGACAGGTGTAGGTTGGACGGAGGAGGGGCCGGGCAGAGACGTGGGTGAGCTGTCAGTCTGATCTTCTTCTGTGATCAGCTCCCAAGACTGCATTAGCAACAGGCAGGAGAAAGCCACAGGTAGTTTCAGACACTTTGTAAGTGCAGACCCATGTGGCTTAGCACAAATGTGTGGTTTTTTTTTTTAAATTTCACATTGCACTTTTCTCTCACATTGTCCATGTCCCTGGATTCCAGGTGCTCGTTCTCCAGGTCCTCACTGATGTGGCGTCGTGATCGGAACACGCGGTGTGCTTCCTGATGGATTTGCCGCTGCTGATTATCACTCTCTGTCTCCGAATTCACATCCCTATAAATGAAAGAAACAATGTCACAAAAAATAGACAGTGAAAATCATGACTGAATGATAAGAAAATTTAAATATAAAGCAATTGGAGCTCTTTTTCTTTCTTTTTTTTCATGAGAGATCAAGAGGCGGTTACGGTTACAGCAAAATAAACACAAGACACACACTGTTTTATTTGTTTCCACCCCCAGGTGTCAGGTCTAAATAATGAGGTGATTAGACTAAATAATATATAAAAATTAATGATATTAGTACAATATTGTACTTCTACAATATTAGAAGAACTTATTGTGCTAATTTGTAACAGAATAAAGCAGAGCAGGTTCAAGCGGCTGCACTTTGTAACAATAGTCACATCACTGAGAAAAACGTGACTGTTCTATATAACGTTTTCACCAACATTTCTTCAAACATTTGCCTATGACATAATGTCTATCATGTTCTATATAACGTCTATAGTTTTCACCAACATTTCTTTCAACATTTGCCTATGACATAATGTCTATCAAAATATTATCATCTCCCCGATTGGTTTCCAAACTTAACCTTTTTTTTAATTTATTTTTTTATTACAAGTGAGAAAAACGCATTGGGAATTAAAGGAAAGACATTTAGCATACATGTTGGAGGGCCTTTTCCACTGTGTTGAGCGGTTGTTATGGTTGACATAGTAGGTGCGTCCCAGGTTGTCCACCTTCTCCTCCCAGCCTGGGGGCAATGGAGGCAGTAGCTGCTGTCGCTGAGAGCCTGAATCGGCAGATTCATCCCAACCCTGTCAAAGAAACAGAGTGTTTGGTGTCAGATGTACTGTAGGAGTAAACTGGTCTGACTCAAAAGCATCAGTGAAAATCTTAGAGCATGGAAATGCATTAAAGATGTTGGATTCACTTGTGGTTGGTTAATATTGTTTCGATTCCTCTCTTGTGGTTTGAAATGTTTTTGGGTTTTTTTTTTTTAACTCGTTTTCAGTTCCTTAGTTTTGTCTGTCTGGGAGGGATACGTGCCACTAAAGGATCTAAGATCTAAATGGTTTGTGTTTGTATGAGTGTTACCACCAGGGTGGGCAGATTTAAACCCCAACCGAGATATGCAGACAGAGAAGGTGGCCAAGAGAGTGGTGAACTACACAACAGGCGTTAGATATGATGTTTTGACAGAATCCGAAGTCCAAAGGGTGAAAAGAGGAGGTTTTTAAATTTACCACAAAAATGTAAACAAAGCAGCATTGATGTTTCTTTATACTTTGTTGGTTTAATGTTCCATTTTCAAGTAACATCTTCACATTTTTTAACACTCCATAAAAACTAAATTTAAATTCAGGAAGAAGACAAAAAAATTAGAAGTTCCTATTTCTCCAAGTAACAGGCCATATAGTAAATGGTTTTTCCAGAGCCTGTCCTGGAAAAGCCTTTCACCAGATTTCTGGCAGCAACGTGATGCCAGGATTCTTAGAGAAAAGAAAAGGGCAAGAATTATCCCTTCTCTTCTCACCCTGTGCAAACGACTCACATTTTTATCAAGGTGGTCCATTAACTTCCATCTCCGAGCTCTTCTGAACTTTATATTTTACACATAACTTACGTCATTCTTTTTCTTCTGCTTATCCTGAAGAGTGAGAGCTCAAAAGCCTTACCTCCGCCTCCTCCCGTATTTCCCCAGCCTCCTCCTCGGGCCCTCCCTGACTGGGCAGATAGGCCATCTTCAGACGTAGGTAACCCTTCACCCTGGACTTGTGACTGCAAGATAAACATCAGTGAGAACAGACCCGCTTGCAAACGGCACATTAAAACCAGATGGCTGCACCCACGGAACCACAGTAGGCTAATGCTAAACGAACACAAGGGGAGTTCCCGAACTGCCTATTAGCACCAGATGGTTTTTCACCTTTAGCATTTAGCTAACCTCTCCATGAACCTACTACTTCCTAGAACTGACACAGCCCACAGTTTAAGGACTCATCTTGATAATCTGTCCATTTAATCAAATAACTAATGTGTGTGTGTGTGGGGGGGGGGGGGGGGGGGGACGGAGGAAGTGCCTCTTTTATTGGCTCA